ATTTCAGTATCGCTATCAAAGAGAAAACTATTGAATAACGTACTTTAAAAAGTTTAATTTTTCTTCTAAATACGCATTCTGCAATTTTTTGTCAGGTCGTCATACACATCTGACAGTCCTTGTGAAAGGACTGTTCATTCAGACGGTATCATATTAGCCCCGTTTACATGCACTACACTCGATTTATTGGCACGGCACGGCTAAAATGGGCACCCGTGCCTATTTCATCTGCGCTCGGACCAATTTTAGCCGTGCCGTGCCGATAAATCGAGTGTAGTGTAACCGAGGCTTTAGATAACGTTTTACACGTCGGTTGTTAATTTCGGCCAAGTAAACCATAAAAAATCCATAAACGTGGATTATCATTACAATCACCAAACTGTGGCCTTCATCGTTTACGAATCCAAGCAACCACAACCTCAGTGATAACTGATAAGCGATATTTCGAATGCGCATTAAATTATTCTGACTGCACTATGATCTCATATATTGCATGCACAGATGAGCGAGCGTTAAACTAATAGTGAAACAAATTACAGTAGAAAGGCATGAAAAAAATGGCAATGGTAAACAGAATATATAGGTCTAAATATCGTACTTTTTCTTGTAGGATATTATCTTGCACGATATTGAAACAATTTACAGCAAGATCACATGTAGTGAGTGAAGTTAGACGAATTTATGGACGATGCGCACAGGATTGCGCACAACCACAATACCTCGCGGCCCTAAAATTTGCTTCTCTCTGCTGCTACGCTCGCTTAAGGTTCGCTCGCTCCGAGAAATAGAAAATACAACTCTGCGTGTCCATATTGTTTCGCTATAAACCTACAAAACCCGTTCAGTACATACTATGTATATATATATATAGCTATATATTACCCAAACTGAGGCTGTCAGTTCTTTTGAAAAAAATGAAAATTAATTAGCTATATCATTATCAGACTGGTATAAATGTTTCCTACCTTGACATTGACATAATATCAAAATCAGACCAAATATGTCAAGAATTAAACCAAAACCAGCCATAAAACATATAAACCTACATAAAAAGGAACTTATTAATTAAATATCACTATAGCGCAAATGCGAGCCGTTTCAGAATTCAAGCTATAGAATCTCATTTCAATACTGCCGATAAATCAGTCATCTTATTGGCTTAGGGCTGCTTTGCACTGTCGGGTTTTTTGTACATACGTGCACGCACAAAGGTTTAAAATCATTTAGTAGCATGATAATTATGAAATTAATTGTAACTCCACTTCATTTATGCCACTTGTCATTTAGAATTAGTTCCTCGTCGGCGTTTGTACCACGAGTACCATGCGGTGGGAGCAGATAATTAAAGAGTTTATTTTGCGTAGGAAAATTTTGCATGCAGCTGTTGACGACCTGAGTGTGAACTAAAGCCGGTTTTCCACTAGCGTTTATTTTCGCGCGAAGCGACATTTCACTTTTGTTTCAGAGCTCTTAACTGCAACCATCTGGAACAAATTGCTCAAATACAAAGGAATAAAGTCGCTTCGCGCGAAAAATATCGCTAGTGGAAAACCGGCTTAATGCCTGATTTCCATTTAACCGCGAGTGCTGTGAACATGTCAATGTGACTGATGTGGTAGAATATTCCTATGTTCCACAATCACCGATCTAAATGCAGAATAAAGACAAATTTACACCCGTGTTAAGTAACTTTTATTTTCTATTTACGCAAGGTAGGAGATCTTTTACAGTAGGTTAACTAATGTTCATTAATGTTCAGTTTCTTTTCTGGATTCTCTACTCTTCACTTGATCTTCTGATCTTCGTCGTTTTTTGAGTTCTTGTCTTTGGTCGTCTGTTCCGTCAGGTTGAGCTTCTTAACGTTTCACATGCTTTTTACTCCGCTAGTCCACTGAAGGTTGGGGTGTTGTGCACGCCCTTTTATAGTAACGGTTGAGGGAAACTTGCAGACGTCATCAACCAGAGTGGGCTGATTCTTATCCAACCAATCAGCGTTGTAAGTTAGAAATGTGGGTTGGTCTTAGAAGCTCGTTCCAGCTCTCATATCTTGTTTGTTTAAGGCGTTGTCGCACTAGTCGAGTTGGTCTTCTGCTCAATCGATCAATACTTAAAAATGTTCACAACTTAAAATATTCATCATCAACAACTAGTAAAATTTACAAACAATACGTCTGTGAACAATATCTTTCAACTTAAACTATTTTCACTCTTATTTTATCGAATTGAACTTTTGATGACGTAATCTATTACATGCTTGACCGAGCAACATTTTTAACACAATTGATTGACATAAGAACTTGAATGGCCTACAGCACGCACACTTTTTTAAAGAATGCGACCATTAAGATAAGTGAAGACTTAAGACTGTTTATCCAGGTATTAGTTCTGAGAGGATTATAAATATTTTCACCTTATTACTTATTTAATCCCACGATATGTCATACATGAAAGAGAAAGGCGATTAATGTTTGCTAATGGCCGAAAAATATACTTATTCAGGCGTCTTGTGGCAAAAATAATTCACTAATCCCTGTCATGCTATTGATATTCCTATTTTTGCAGCTATTTTTATATGCATATCTCTAAATACAATAAAGCTTTGCGTAACACCCGGACAATTTCCCGTCGGTAGAAATGCAGAACTGGACATACACTACGTGACTACGAGGAAAGTTGCATTCAAGCCATCAACGGCTTTCTTTTCAGTCACGTCTTTCATTTAATATCTATGTATAAACGGCCATACGGAGAAGTCAAACACTTTTACTGAAATACGTTAGCCACGACACTCCCCGCAGTTGAAAGCTGTATAATTGCATTGCACACGAAGTCAACATCTATAACTGAGTAGATCCAATCGAAGAAAATTTGTTATTTCTATATGCAGCTTTCTTCAAACAGATTGATCAATTTTTTGTATATAACCGCAAATGTGCAAGATAAAAAAGCCATTCTATTGGAACTACTTTAAGAAACGTAACACACAAACGGAAACATTTCGCATTGCATAGTTTGGAAGTTATAGGCTATGGAAATGCATGTGCGAAGTATGATTTTTCATACAACTATATTTGCCTTAGTGGAAATACGCTTTATATTTTAAGGTGGTTGCAAACAGCTTATAGTTATATAGAAAGCTGCATTGGTAAACAATCGCCTACAAACATGCGAAAGCTCAAATAATTCCCATTATTAGGCACTAAATGCAAGTTATTATTCGACTACATATCAAATGCTTACTTTAGAGTCCAACAATTAGGTTACAAATGTTGTTTTCAGCGGCTTTTCCTTGACTATTATCGATGAAATCTTTACCTAGTTTAACCACTTCCTGGTTCGCAACAGTATATGAGATTTACGAATTGGTAATACAACACTAAATTCGTATTCAGAATTCCTTGATAACATTTAAAATTTCCTTAACATTCCGTAAAATTATGGATCGACACCCCTGTGAAGTCTGTGTTGCAAACGGTAACGTTTCGAATGCTTATGTTTTGTCATCACAACGATTTATAAAGATATGAATTCTCTTTGATTTTGAATGCTAAGCTCCGTTTACACTGGGTACCAGAACCAATTTCGTGTCACGGAAAAATTGGGTAAGGGTACCACTTTTAGCCGTGTCGTGCTAAAAGTTGAGTGCAGTGTAAAGTAGAGTAAGTGTATAGGCACCTCACAGTATTTTTAAAGTTCCTTTTTATACACTTTATGGTGTTGTTCGATCTATATGGCTTTTCGTGGTATTAAAAAGAGACGAGAATGCAAGATTTTAAGTTTAGATACCGTATACTTAAAGTTAGAGTGCAAAGTGCAGTGCAAAGATTTTCGATATCATGCAGAAATAAATTCATTGCCATGAACGTGATAAATGATAATCAGTAAGAAATTTAAGCACTGTAAATTATACATATACAAGTAAACAAAAAAACGGCGCTTTTATTGTTACTGTAATGCTGTAAGTAATTGACATTTTCTAGAAAGACAGGTTTTTGACGACAATTTTATCCTACTTATTGTGTCTCAAGGCAACATTGATTTACCTTTAGAACGTTTAATGAAATAATTTCGTTAATCGTTGGATACAAGTTAATAACCGAATGTCCATTAATGAAAACCTTTTGGTTTGTACCAGCAACGACAGCCCTTACTACCAAAGTCTTCTTTGTCTTCCATCTTTTAACCCTCACAACTGTTTGTGTTGGTTTAAGACGAAATTTCTCTAGCTGACCTGACACATTTGTCGTGAAGAGCACATCGGCCTGGTAATTATTCACCAGCAAAAATACAAGGAAGAAATTACTTTCGTCTAGAAAGGGGATTAAAGATGATGTAAAGTCCGTTCTGCGCATATATTCTGCGCAGCAACACATTCCATCAGTGGGGGAGCAACTTTTGGAATGTTGATGATATGCGATATTAGCGCGTTGTATTACAAATGGCGGACAGTTCAGGGGCACAATTATTTTATTTTATGTCGCAAGGCGAAGAGGCTCGAATTGCGAGTGACGAAGATAAGGCTGCTAGAAAAAAGCAATATTATGCTGGAAGGAATGCTTCAAGAATTTATTTAATGAATGAGGACCCGAGATGGCGACGCTATTTGTCGTCGCTACAGACGCTACTTTCTCGCTTGTCCTACAATTACAAATATATAAAGATTTAAATAACGGTTTATTTACAAGCTTCGCTTTATATATCTTCTTCAAAATATAATATAGAATAAGCACATTCAGATTCATCACAGCCGGTCGAGCGAGGACGAGAAGAAAATTAAAACGACATATTCGTCATGTAAAGATTATATAACAAACGTAAACAAACGCTGTTTTTCCAGTAGTCTATTGGCAATAAAACAAATGCTTTGCGTATATCTAACAAATGCAGATCTAAATTCTTTAACAAATATGATGTCATTAACATATTCGCCCAGATGTTTGGTATGAAGGTTTCAGTCACATTTTTATTCTGTGTTTCTCATCACGCGATGACAAACAAGTTCAAGTTAAAGATTGATAATTGCTATCGACATCTCTTGTTTTGTTCAACTCAGTATAAGTAGAGTCGCCATCATTAACACCGTCATTTCTTGCAGCATTTACTCTCAATGACTGATAATTGTCTTCTTTGTTCATTTTTTCAAGATCCAGTTCTTGATAAGTTGGATCAACTTGAGAAGTTGGTGAGTCAGGTTTTTGTTGAAGTTTTTTATTTCTAAATTTACTATGATAACGAAAGACAATGTAGGAAAGAAGAATCCCAATGATTATTCCAGACAATAATGACACCAGGACAATATACCATTTTGTTTCATTGTCATTCGATGCTGCTGGGTGTGCCTTTTCTAAAAAGTAAAAAGTTAATCGAGGAGAGCCCGCTGATTTCAACGCAACCAGACCGAAGAAACTTGTCAGTTGAATCTACCGCGTCGACTGAGAAAGTGTTCACCCTCAGCTGTGTCAATCTTGTCCTTATAACTGCGTATAACATTTATATATATATATATATATATATATATATTAATATATATATATATATATATATGTGTATTGTTATATATGATTAATTAATTTTATTATATGATTCATAATTCCTGATTCATTACCTTCACGATTCTTTATGCTTGTGCTGGATACTGATCGTGAAGTTGATCTTGTTATAGATACCACTGTAGGTTTCGGTTCTTTAAATGAGAATATAGACTCAAGTTATACCTATATAAAACACTATGTCAACTTATTTTGAAGTCGCCAAATTTAAGCTATAGATAGAAGCACATGAAAATTTTTAATTTTTAACGTTACTTTGAACGAACAACCGGTCCCAGGTATCAACAACCATGTCAGGCTCATACTAAATTTCGTTTAATCTAAAGTTGCTTCACCTCATAAATTATACATTTATGGTTGAAGTGTATGGTTCTTCTTTAAGTTTTTCATTTGAAAACATGTCTATAAAAAATATATACTGATTTGCACCTTCAGTAACTTTTAGATAGTCAGAAACGGAGTCCTTTCCAAATGTATTAGCCGCGATGCACTTGTATGTTCCATTATCTTTCCATTTAACTTGCGGTACGATGTACCACTTTTCAGTACTAAGAACCTTTCCATTATGGTATATAGTATAAAATGGTTCAGGAAACCCATCAGAGGCACATGTTATGGTTAGTGGTCCATTAATCACAGCGGGGTTCTTCGTGAACGTAATCATTGTATTCGTTGGTTTAACTATATTAAAACAACAAAACCTTATAGCACTAAAGGAAATGATAAACAAGATTGGCATCAAACTTCGATTTCGATACGAGAATTGCCCGTTGAACTGCCGAAAGTGTGTAAAATTTTGTACTCAGCATCCGCACATGCATGGCATGTTAATTTATACATACATGCATGCAGGAAGTTACGTTACAATGCGGGCGAAGGTACACATGCAGCAAAGGACAGTGTCAAAAATTCTGTTTAGTTATGATTAAGGATATATTTTTCAAAGCTATATGACTATTTCAAGAACGGGTGGTTCAAACACATTTTTCATTGCGTATAAATAATACGAATGTGTACAAAATTTGCAATTTGCTAATATCTTCAACATTTCTAAATAATTATGTTTTACTCTTAAACACTTATGTTAGGGTTATCATACTTACAATAGATAATAACTTGAATGAATTTTTCATCACTGTATTTTCCAAAGGGGTGGCTTGTGGCTACACACTTATATGTTCCGCGGACTGTTCTACCGACAAGTGAAAGAATTAATTTTTGCCTCTCCGTTCCAACATCAGTAATTTTGACTCCATCTTTATACCAGGTAACATTAGCAGGAGGATTTCCACCTTCACCTCTGCATAGACACGTGAAGTTTTCACCTTTTTTTAGTGTGACGACTCCAGGGCAATTCAATGTCACCTTTGGTTTCTCTGAAATGTGATAGTTTTTCTGTCTGGATCTCATGCAGATGTCACAAACAGCTGCATGGCGATAAAGAAAAAAATCTGGGGGTGTCCTAAGCTCCGTGGGCCGAATTTTGTAGGGTTTGCATTTAATTTGATAGAAAAAGCCTAGGTACGAAATATCCACCTGATCGAGTAGTGAAGGGTAGTGTCGCAGCTCCTCGCAAGAATGATTTTCATTGGCTGAACTTTACAATACATTTCTGTTTCAACCAATAGCATAGCTTCTTTCTATGCATAGAAAAGCATTACCCAATTGGACGAAAGCTTCCAAGAGCTGCGACATGTCCCGTAGTCAAAGCCGCACAAAGTTTTCAGGTTTTATCCTTCGGAAACCTAATTGAACTTTCTATTACGACAAAATTGCTCGATTCGACGAAGTGATTAAAGAACAGCGTTTGGTTTAATGCGAAGCTCCCACTGGTACAATTTCGATTTCGGTCGAAAGGCTCTGAGGGTTCAGATTTTTATTTAAAATTTGTTTACCCTAGTTCCCCGCAAATGAGCATTTCAGAGTATTGTCAAATGTAATATGACATGGTGTATATATACAATTTGACTGACTCAGTCAAAGGATAGACCGTTAGAAATTCATCTATTTTATATTGTGCATTTTCGGACATTTCGAGTTAGCCGCAAGTTAACCACAAGTTTCACGGTGCATTTTTCAAGTAAAAATCCCAGCACAAAATAATATCTCTGGGCTTTAAGGAAATAACCTCTTGATTCTTGGATTGACATCATGGCATGTGAACATGATTTAATCGGTTTTAGGAGAAGCTATACTTACTTGCAATATAAACGGCAACTGTAGATCGCTCACCGTCAATTGAAAACTGGTATGTTCCATCATAAGTTTGATTAACATTCTTTAAAAGCAATGTCCCAGGTCTTTCAATTGCAACATCAAGTAAACTCGTTATTTTTGAAGGAGGGTCATTGTCAATTATTCTTCCAAGTCGATGATCATTGAATACACCATCACTACTTCTGAAATACCAAACCCGTGAACTTACTGTTGATACATCATTATCAAACGACCACGTTATATTTGCTGCTGATCCATTAAAAAGGGTAAGAATTTTTCCATCAGGTGGCGAAGTTATTCGACCTAAACAACACAACTCTCAGTTTGAATTTAGACGTATCATGCAAATAGTGTGCGATTCAATATCAATAAGTTAAGTGGTGTTAGCCTCAAATGTTTCCCAGCTGCATGTTACGCAAAAAAATATATAAAAATGTTATTCGCTACTATATGTAAGCACAAAGCCAAATCATAAAACAATCCGTCATCAAGATTTGTATGGACTGCATGCAATTTATATATAGTATTACGGTAAGATATGGAGTATATATAGTTCCTGTATTCTTGTATGTTATCATTGACACATTTTGATTTTGGAATTGTAGACGCGGCTTACTTAGTTTACGAAATTTGGCTTTTGCGGACATATAAACAAACAATGCTCTTTTAGGTTTGCATGGTAACATCAATAAGTAATTTAGCTTAATTACTTATAAACAAATAATAACTTATAAACAAATAGCACGAGATGCATGCATGGAAGCGACTGGGGCAAGTCGTACAAAACTCTTATAATTTATACTGACTACATTTTAGCTAGTGAAATCATAGTTAACACACAAAAATACGATTTTGATTTGCCAATTCGGTCACCATGCAAGCGTACTTGAATTTTACTCCTTTTCACACGACTCGCCCCAGATGCATAATTAATTATATCAGGTAAGGCCTCTTTCAGACGTCGAACTTTACATGTGTCGAACCTGATGTTAACAAGCTAAAGTCTTTGTTTAATTTCATTTGCATGCATTTGATTCGGCACATGAAAAATTCGACGTTTGAAACGAGTCTAAGACGGAAAATCTATTTTGAGTAAATTGCGAAACGCAAATGTAGTTTCCTACCTTGACATAAGCAAAAAACTGAAATAAGACCAAATATATCAAGAATTAAACCAAAACCAGCCATAAACATGAGGAAATATACCTGCATAAAAAATAAATTCCAATGGTGCATGTGGGCTCATTTAGTCATTTTCATAACGCGGGAAAAGATTTATTTTTATATCGCCATATAAGTGGGACGTAGGGAACACAGCCTAGGGGGGGACAAAGCGCCTAAATTAGTTCCTTTTTTCAATATGGTTCAAGAATGTGATAGCTGACCATTTTAAGGATGTGAATGCATGCGGTTTTGTACACAGGGTGTATAAAAAGGAACACTAATGACAATTCGATATTTTGTGATCGAATAGTGAGCGAACATTCATGAACATTTAGTAGTTGCGTACCCTGTATTGGATGAGCATGTGCCCACCTATTTGCAAAATCTATGAAATATATCTCTTATATTTTCGAAGTACATTTAAAATGAATTCAACAAAGAGTTTTCTAAGAGTTTTCGACGTCCCTCAGCATGATAAATTTGCATGCAGCTGTTGACGACCACGTTTATTGTCTTTAATAAGGCTGGATTTCCACTTACAGAGAAATACTTCGCTAGCGAAATATTTGCATATTTTCTTTAGAATTTTAGCAGCATGAATAAATTATTTCAACATGACTGCTCTCACTCAATTCACAAAAAAATATGCAAATATTTCGCTAGCGAACTATTTCTCTGTAAGTGGAAATCCACCCTAATTATATGACACGAGAAATGCATGCAAACGAGCATGTATAGGTATACATACGCAACAAAATAGGTGCATTTAGGGAATGTCTCTGTTCAACAGTCGTCTTTTATAATGACTAATCCAATGCTCTGAACATTGTAACGTCAAAAGTAAACATGGGAACTAACGCGAGGAGTCAACTAGTCTAGTAGTTCTTGTATTAAAAATTAAAGCCTTAAAAATAAATTCCCACGAATGTAACCGCTAAACCTGAATCTCGGCCTAATCGATCAGAAGCCACGGAAAAATATTGCCTTGCAGCAAATATCTCTTAGATATAACCTTTCACCGATACCTATTATCAACTGTCACGTTCGGAGGATAATCGTGTGGTAACAAGCATGACGGCGTAAACATACTCTTAACATACATCCTGATTTATATGCAATATATACTTCCGTCATAGGAATAAGCTAATAAGAAAATGTAACATAGATCACCATTATATTGTCTATAAACAGCATTCTATCAGAGGGTTGTATCATCATATAGTGTAGGACATAAAAAGCACTCAACTGCCTGATGTATCGCTTCCAATAGTACAATTTAATCAAACGTCTATTCGCTTAAGTATGTTTTCGTCGTTTTATATTTTCAAGTGCATGCTTGGTAACTTGACCAACTGGTTCACTAAATTGCAGCATTGGTAAACAGTCGTTTGCCTACATTGAACCATAATGAACATAAGAAAGCTTTATAATTCCTATATCACATGCAAGCGCTGTTATTATATAGATACATATGAAATGCTTACATACGTGTCCAATACAAAATGTTGTTCTCTGCAATGTATTGATAAACGTCTTTAAAACGAATCAACTTCCTGGTTCCCAACAGTAATTTAATTTCTATACAATGATATTGATAAATTTGATATGATGTGTTTTCAGCATTTCGCTTTTTATCATTAAAACATTGAAAAATTCCTTGAAAAAATTTGAAAATTCCTTATAACAGTTATAATTCCCGAAATTATTATTCATGCTCTTTACTTCCGCTAAAATATTATATACTTAACAAGACGCCTACTAGGCGTTATATGATCGCGTCGTTCACAGCGGCGTAGCCAGCCCAGCTTTGCAAATTTTGTGTCGTAAATGTTCTTAATAATAAAAATGAACAATATACCGAACTATAGTCGCATGTTGAAAGCAGGAGAAACACACAACAGCCCATTTCGAAACTGCTTGAAATCCTTTAGTGCAGGCTTACTCTGCTCGGCGTGTGTAGTTAGTTGTATGTGTAATGAGTGTAAAGATAAAGATAGCACTTGCTAGCATTTTGATCGCTTTATTGATTCTACTTTACTGCTTCGAAGTTCGAGGGTGAAACGAAATATGCCCAAAGTGAATACAACACGTGATATAACTAGCAACTTACCTGTGCGCAGGTTCCCGATTAGGGTGATATGGCCCGCAGCTAGCGACGCTGGGGGTCGACCCGAGAGGAAAAAAATAATAATAAAAAAAAAAAAAAACCAAGCCGAAACTATAGATCGCTGTCGCTACGCGACGCGATCAAAAAGCACTCTTTGCGGCCATTTAATTTTGCTAATAATAGTAAATTTGCGTAGAATTTATTATGGATTATTATTACGTGCATGCATATATTTCAGCCAATTTTCGTAAATTTAATGCATGCTTATGTGTATGTATGGACTGCCGATGTTCTGCATGCGCCGATGAGGTTTTTGTTGTTCCCAACAGAAGTGTAGTATAGCTATGAGCTGGAGACTATATAATTGGCTGATAGGGAAAAAAAATAGCAGAAAACGAGAGCTTGGCGAAGAAGTAAGCATGCACACTATTATCCCTGCCCGAGACAACAAAGCTGGGTATACAGGACTGGTATGGTCAAGGGGCAAGAAATGACAACGATATTCGACCTAATATATATATCATGATACATATATCAAAAACATGCCACGGAATGGATGGAACGGGGGTATGTAATAGTATATCAAAGCACGCCGGATTTTCGGTAAATTGAGAAACACGTATATCTATGTTTCTTACCTTGGCATGACCGTAAGACCAGAATGAGACAAAAAACCGTAATTGAACCAAAACCAGCCATGGTATTAGAGGAAATAGACCTGCACAAAAAGAAAATTACACAGTATATAGGGTGCTGGCTGAAATTTCAACTCATAATATGGAGCTATATAAACATCAATTATACACCTTTTTTGTTTTGCTATGCAGCATGTGCTTTAACATATTATATAAGTACTAGTTAAAAACGCCTAACCCACTGTCAGCTTAGAAATGAAAATGGCAGGAATCAAACATGCTCGACTTCGCATGTTGGGCGTTGCATGTATGATTTGGAATATGCATTTAGGTAAAAACGAAAAATCTGCTGCATGAAATAGTCCGATACTGCTAGGCAAGAACGTTGACTCGGACTGTCAGTGTCCGATATTTATTAACTCTCACTTTTCTATTGGATTGTGATGACAGCTCTGCAAAGAAAATGGCAAATACGACCATGGTCATATTCGCCGGAAAATGGCAAATACGACCATGGTCATATTCGCCGGAAAATGGCAAATACGACCATGGTCATATTCGCCGGAAAATGGCAAATACGACCATAGTTTTATTCGCCGGAAAATTGCAAATACGACCATGCATGGTCATATTCGGCGGAAAATGGCAAATACGACCATGGTCATATTCGCCGGAAAATGGTAAATGTATATAATATACAATATATATAACCCTTTGCGATTTACTAAGTATCACAAATCAAATAAAAAAATTTTTGGCTTCAAAATTAATGCATTAAGAGTGGTAATGCAATGCAATGTTTAAAGTATACCGATTACCGATATATGATTAGAGTCGTTAACTTGATTTGTTATTTGCTCAAGTCAATTTACGTCCTAGATAGCCGACATGCAATCGCTCTCAAACATGCCTAGAAGCTTTAGAACTTTCGACTACGTGCATGCATGTTTCAATGTGTACGAGGTTTTCACATGCAATTTAAGTACCAAATATTGCTGCAGCGATCTTTTTCTGGACTGTTACCGATAAAAACCTTCACTGCATGACATCAGTCCACTTCCTCGTTCGCAAAAGCTTTTTCATTGCAGTGAGGAATGACGGTATTTTCATTCATATAGACAGCTACAATACAAGAAATGGATTTCTTAGTAATATTTTGATATTCCTCATAAAACTTATATTGTGTATGACGTCTTTGTAGCTATCTGGAGGACAATGATTTTGAAAACAACGTGAATTTTCAATGTTTTAAAACCATTAAGAAGGAAATGTTGTCCAACAAATTCCAACTACCCCATCTGGTTATTTTTACTTCTATTTCTACGCCCCTCAATTCGCAATTAACTATTCAACAAATTACTCATTATGTTCCCCTTTTGCCCACATATACATAACGTCCTATTTTTTTTCTCTAGTTTGTTTAATTCAGACAATTGTTATAAATTAACTTATAACTATATAAGAACTACAATATGGTTCCAATTACTTATGTCAAAATATAAAATATACAAAAAGATTATACAATTACGTATCAACTTACCAACTTACCTATTACTTTATTAATTAATTTTTCAGGCTTATATAAACCTTGCAGCCTTCCATGTCTCATTGACAACATCCCAGAATATACAGCTGGATTCGAACATCGTCAGGTTGTATTTCGGAGTTTGGTTGGGATGAAAGAACTTGCCATCAAAGCCTAGATTGTCGGCTACGAGGATCTTCAGTTTTCCAGGGGGGATCAGTTGGCTTCAGTAGAGCAGGGGAGATAATGACACATGAACGACGAACACGTCTAGCGCCAACTTCGCAAGAAACTGAACGCCGATTATCTATATTGTTCACAACACTACTAAGAATCTTTATTCGCTTTAATACAAAGTGCTTTTTATATACTTATAATTACAAAAGGTATGATTACAAAATTAAATACTAGTTGTTAGGTTAATTATGAGGAGAAAAATGAAATATTCTATGCTGATTAGATCTGAGACTCCTTTCAATCGCATGCAAATAATGCAATATCGATACTTTCGTATTCTCTTATTGTTCGCCAAATTTGGTTTTCATCAGCCCCTTCAAAAACTGCTTCTTGTCAAAACCAAAATACAAAAGGTATGATTCTTGCAACTTGTTCAGCCCTGAAAAAATATCGTTTTGCTTCTATTTCATTCTTCCCAAACTTCGGTTGATAGCATCTGCAAATAGTTCAATTTCTTCGCACCGTCCATCCAACTTAAAATTATAAAAGGCATTTTTGTCAGGTGCATGGTTGTATCTTTGACTTTCGCTTTATTTTCGCCACTTCTTTTAAACGGTATACTTTGCAAATAAAATCGTTTCTGTCAGGCTTGCGCATGTGCATGTGGTAACGTTTACTGAATGATCTTTTTTGTATACTTAAAATATCATTCATTTAATAGGTTGATAATCATTCTCGGTCGCTTGAAATCGGTCATCGCTATAGATGAAATACCGTTTTCGTTCAGCATTCAGGTAAATTTTGCCAAAAAAAAATGGGTTACTATTTTTCTCTCGCTTCTACAAATTTTTCTTCTACAAATCTTATGCTAATCTTATCGAAATCTCACCTTATTTCAAAGGCAATGACAAACCTGCGTGACTATAGTCTTAAAAATACAGTCGAAATCTCTCCGTAAAATTGTTGTCAGGTTTCCATATAAAAGGCAATATTTTTTAAACCAGGTGAAGGACCAATATCAGTCGTTATTCATGTCAAAGATTGATAACTGTTTTCCGCATCTCTTGTTTTGGTTAGGTCAGTATAATTTGATTCGTCGTTATTTACACCGTCATTTCTGGCAGCATTCACTGTTAATGATTGATAATTGTCTCTTTTGTTCATTTTTGTAAGATCCAGTTCTTGATAAGTTGAATCAACTGGAGAAGTTGGAGGTTCAGAGTTAGATTTCTGAGCTTTCCTAAATTTGCGACGAGAACATATGAAAATATAGGAAATAAGAATTCCAATGATCATTCCAGACAACAATATTACCACGACGATATACCATTTCACTTCACCGTCAGTAGATGCTCCTGGATCTGCCTTTTCTAAGAAAAAAACAATGATAAAGATATTCTTCTAGTTTTAGCAACATGGGAACTTTTCCTTTGATATTTAACTCATCAGACAAATCATTCGGCCAAAGAATGATAATTACAACGGTTATTCTCGTTTTATTTTGTGTATCTTAAATTCATTTCTATTGGGATATCATCAATTTTACTCTCAGACAACACTTCATATTTGTTATATACAATACATAATATCACTGTACCTGTTTCATTACCTTCGTGATTTGTTACGCTTGTACTGGATAGCGAGCGTGAAGTTGCTGTTGTTGGTTTCGCTTCTTAGAATGAATAAATGGATATATGATTGATTATGAGATGCGTGACTAAAAAACAGCTCTGATATAGGATGAGTTATATCAATTCCTTCTGAAGTCACTCAATGTAAAAGTGTTCCTATTCATGCACCCCCAAAACAAATCCTTTTATCACATACAGCTATGCATGGACAAGACAACGATATGAGTTCGTCAGCTCGAGAGCGACATATTAACAGGAGAATGCGATGTTAACTAGACAACTCATATAAAAAAACTGACTTACTTTCCATCACGTTTAAATATTCATAATCGGAGTATTTTCCAATTGCGTTAATTGCAATGCACTTGTACACTCCAGCATCCTTCCGCTTCACTTGAGATATTGAGTACCGTTTGCTATCACTAACAATCTTAGTACCATTATGGTATATAGTGGTTATTGGCTCAGGAAACCCATCAGATGTACACGTAACAGTTATTGATCCAATGATCGCTGCTGGGTTTGCTGAGAATCTAATGACTGCATTCGTTGGTTTAACTGTTAAAAAACAAAACCTTAACTCTTGTTGCAATAAAAATTATAGCCAGGCAAAGATATTTGGCATGCACTGTTTGTGAAAAACATGCAGTGATTGTTATATTACGAGTTATTGGTATACAATCATGCTTACAAAAGATTATCACTTGGATGAACTTTTCATCAGTATATTTTTCATCAGGGTAGCTTGAGGCTAAACACTTGTATGTTCCGCGGTCTGCTCTACTAACATTTAAAAGATTTATTTTTTGCTTCTCCGTTCCAACATCACTAATTTTGACTCCATCTTTATACCAGGTAACATCAGCTGGAGGGTTTCCACCTTCACCTTTGCATAGACACGTGAAGTTATCACCTTCATTTAGTGTGACGATACTGGAACAATTCAATGTCACGAATGGTTTCACTGGAATTTAATAAAGTAGAATACCATAAGTATTTTAAAGAATTGTACAAGCAGAGGCGCCGAAAGCAGTTTAGGGCGGCTGGGGCCTGGGAGTTTTAGAAAAGGGCACATTCATTTTACCTTGGCAACCAAACAAAAAGGAAACTTAAAGTTACAAGTACATGCGAACTTGCAAATCTACAAGAGAACGCATATTTAGAATAATATTACCGGTTTGTTTTAATGCGAAGAGAAGGCATCATTAATGTATGATATGTATCATGTTTGATACCATTACATGGTAGGAAAGGGCACAGGGTTGCCCCCACTCGCCCGGTAAGCAAAGGGCATCTGCCCCCGCTGCCACCGTGGTTCCGGCGCCCCTACGTACAGGATTATCATGCATTGAAATAAAAGCAGCAATCGCGCTTGGTTGAATGCGCGACGTGCGATATCATACTTACAAAAAACTATTACTTGGATGTTTTTTCCATCCGTAAAACTTTTATATAGCTTGTTGCTATACACAATTGTATGTTCAAAAGTTAGCTTTACCAACATTAAAGAGAGTTAATGTTTGATTTTCTGTTTCAACATCGCTAAATTTGACTAAATTTGACTTCCTTAAACCAGGTAACATTAGCAGGGGGGGTTCTACCTTCACCTTTACACAGACATGTGAAGTTATCACCTTCATTTAGTGTGGCAGGACTGGAACAATTTAATTCCACTTTTGGTTTCACAAACAAAGAATAAACAAAGAATTTTATGCACCAATAACCACAGAC